TTCTGAGGCAAAATGTGTCCAATCTCCAGGTGAGGGCTGGAGATCCCTCAGAATTACAACTGCTTTCCAGATGGCAGAGATCAGTTCCCCTGGAGAAAATGGTGGGCTCTGTATCTTTACATGCTTCTGAGGTGGCCCCCATATGACAGCCAATGTGATGTAGCAGTCAGGGCTTCAGAGCATGGGAGAGGCTGCAGGCGTGTGGGGGGTGGAAAGCTGAAGAGTGAGGGGGAAATAAAGGTAAGTTGATGATTGGCTGGGAAGGAGATAGGGTTGCCAACTCCAGGTGGGAAATTCCTGGAGATGTGAGGGATGGGGCCTGGAGAGGGTGAAGTTTCAGGAGGTGTGGGACCTCGGACAGGTACAAAACTATAGACTCCACCCTCCAAACCAACTATTCCCTTCTGTGGAACCATAGTTGCCAATCTCCAGGTGAGGGCTGGAGATCACTCAAAATTACAACTGTTCTTTAGGTAGCAGAGATCAGTTCCTCTGGAGAAAATGGTGGACTCAGTGTCATTATACCCTGATGAGGTCGCCACAGCAAATTGACACTGAGTGTCCAAGGCCGGGGCACCCGCCCAGAGCCTCTTTCTAGAGGCCGTTTTATTTATTTCCGCAATGGGCCTTTTTCCTAGTTCATATGTATAAAAGAAAGTCCCCTCACAGGCAGCTGCCAGGAGGAGGCAACTTAGGAATGCGGCAAAGACATTTGCACATAGTACTCCTGCGGAGCACTGAGCTGCGGAGGCAAAGTACCAGCAAGATCATCCTGAGGTGCTCAGAACAATACAGTCTTCACATGAGCAAAACAATCCAGGAACACAAATAGAGAGGCCATCACTTTCGTGGCAGGAATTGACTTAACAGATGACTGCTTTTTAAATGGACAGTTCTATGTTGCCTGCTCCAGAGTGAGCTCATCAAGCAGCTAGGTGATCCTAGCACCTGAGGGCAGAACCACAAATGTGGTCTACAGAGAGGTCCTTCGGTAGAGGGGAAAAAAAGTACGTATGTCTCATTTCATTTTTTACACTACCATATTCTCCACTGGAATTCCTACAACAAATGTCACATTTAAAACTTCACATCATCGGTATTATAACTGGATTTACGGAACTTAAATACCGTAGTGAAGCATGGGTATCAGGCTAGCTCTGAATAAAACATGTTTTCCAAGTCTTTGGAAATGGCTAAAGGAAGGGACAAAGCAAATCTCACAGATATTGCACACCTTTAGAACCACCATCAAAAAGGCCCTGCTACACACAGAGGTGGTGCAGATGGGAGCTGATGCCCCAAGATACCCCAGGTCTAAGACATTTATTGGTGGTGAACAGTGTTGTCAAGTCGCAGCCGACTTATGGCGACCCCGTAGGGTTTTCAACACAATAGATGTTCAGACATAGTTTGCTATTACCTGCCTCTTCACAGTGATCCTGGTATTCCTTGGTGGTCTCCCATCCAAATACTAACCAGGGCCAATCCTGCTTAGCTTCTGAGACTGATGAAATCAGGCTAGCCTGGACCATCCAGGTCAGGGCAAGACATTCCTTAGCATCCCCAAAACTGCATGAGAGTCCTGTGGTATGATCTTGTCATCTACTCAACACATATATCTGGAATACATTACCCAACACATACATCTGGAATACATGTAATCTGAGACAAAACAGAGAATGTCAAGACCTACTCAAAACAGAATAGAAATAAAAGCCAAATTTAATTTGTCACAAATGAGGAAGTTCCACACAAATGGTTCACAAAGCAAGACAGAGCTTTTAATGTACAAATGCTGCTGCAGAAAACTGGCAGGTATACCATGTGAGTTTGAAAGACAACAGTAGTCAGTATCATCCTGCTATCTGGGAAGTCTAGGTTCAAAAACCCCAGTCTACAAAGGAAATGTGCTGGGTAAACTTGGTCTGGACACACACTCTCAGCCTAATCCACCTCATTAGTTCACACTGCTTTCCTACTGAGAAAGACTGGATCGTGAGGGCATCAATACAATGAAAAAGAGGAAGGGAACCCAGTTGCACCCAGGAGAGCCCTGGCATGACGAGCCCAACAAAATTTGCAGTCTCTCTCTCTCTCAAGACAAAAAACGCATACCTTGAATAAAACTCTGTTGGTCTTAAAGATGCTTTGTAACTCTTCTGTGCAATTGAGAGAACTGGGCAAAGTAAGCTCTCGCTCTTTACCTCCCACCCACCCCAAGGGACGAGCCCTCCCTCCCCCTCTCTTCCTCCCCAAGGGTGGAGGAGCCTCAGCCAATGGAGGGAAGAGGGGCTTTGCTCTGTGGCTCCTGTGCAATTGAGAGAGCCTGGCAAAGCAAGCTGTGATGCAGAAGAAAGCAAGAGAGAGGGAGAAGGAAGCATACGACAGCCAGTTGCTCGTGGGCCACATACAAGCCCTGTGGGGGGCGGATCCAGTCCACGGGCCGCATGTTTTATACACTTGCATTAGAGCCTCTGAAAATGCTCATCATTGAAAACACCTTTTCAGATGCTTTAGGAAGCTAGCAGCAGTTCACATGATGCCCCTATCAGGGGTTCCCAAGCTTATTTTCAAACATCTTCTCTCAATGCACCCAATATGTTGCTATTTTCTGCCCTCTGTAACATATACTTCACCCAATTAGGATCCTTTCTTGTTATTGTCTGTCTCATCCATGTATTTTCAGCCAGGCTTATAGTTTATCACAAAGTCTGAGCTACTGAAATATTGTCCAACTCCTCAAAATTTGTCATACCCAAGATTTCTACATTCTTCTAGAACTTTAGGCACCCATCTCTTGGACACCTCGTAGGCTGCTTTCACATCTGTTGCCATACTAAACATTTATTTATTTAATTAATTCGGTTTACACCCAGCTCTCCCCGCCAATGCGGCCTCAGGGCAGTGTCATGGGAATTATCTTAAAAGAAAAACAGAACTTCTCCAGGCAAGACGCCAGCTAGGCGCTTCACCAGAATTTTAAACAACACAAGTCTTATTTCTTGAAGAGATGATAAGCAAGCAAATGAACTGACAGAGCTTTTCCTACAAAGCATGCTATCAGGAGCTCCTGGGCTGACTAGTGACCCTCAGGAGAGAAAGAGAATCTCACTGAATCCCAAAGGTCAGCGCCAAACTGCCCAGAAGGACTCAAATTTATACAGAATTAATCAAAGGTTTCGTATGGGCTGTCACAAATGTTGATGACCAGGTGATTTTGAAAATCGTGAGACCATGTCATGCAGCAGATGTCCTCACAGTCCAGGATTTATATTTTATTTTCAAAATAACACAAGATAGCAGTTCTGATTCTAAATGACAACCATGAAATCAGAATGTTCTTTTATGTTCGCAGTGTGAGATAAGACAGACATGACGCTGTCTGCTGAAGCCAAGTGGGGGTGTGAAATTACTGTAGAGTTTTAAACTATGGGGAAAGAATGTGGGTTCTTTTCTGTATATGTGACAGGGGGGGGGAAAGGTGCCTTTTGAAACAAAGAGACAGGCATTGCATTTTGGGAGTCTTCCCTGTGTGCTGAAAGCTGCTTGCTAACTTAAAGGACAGAAACAGAAATAGTTATAGGATTTCTGTGTATAAAGGGTTCCGTTCTCTGATCCAAACCTTTTAGTATTAAAATTCTCTTACAACAGGCGGCTTACATAAAATTTCATATAAATGGAAGAGCAAAGTCCGAGTCCAGTGGCACCTTTAAGACCAAAAAAGTTTCTTTTCTGGGTATAACCTTTTGTGTGCATGCAGACTTGTAGGGAAGAGGTGTTAGTCTATATGTCAAAATCATTTAGGAACTCTTTACACAAGCCAGTCAAAGGACATAGCAATTTCTTTGTACTGCCACTCTGTCCCATTGAAGTATGCATATAATTTTTTTAACTGCTGCCTACTCCCTCCTCTTGAACAGATATGATTACTGAACATTTATGACAAGCTACCAAGGCAAGCATGTATTACAGAAACGCTTGTAAGACAAATAATTGCAGGAATCATGCTCTTCTACGTAATTTAAACACAACTCAGTCTAGTCAGGTTGTTAGGCTAATTCTGCTGTGGTTCATACAGAAGCACCTTTAAACAACCAAATCACCCACTTTTTTTCTTAAACATCTCACAGCATCACCCATTCATGAGGGGCGGGGCCAAAAGCTGCCCCTGGCCTCCAGATTTCAGGCACCACTGCCCAGCAGATCTGCGATTTGCTTCCTAGCTCATCCTTCAGTTCCTCTTGTGTCTCAGCATCAGCTGCTTAAGTACGTATGTCCTTTCATACATACCCACTGTTTTTGCAGCAGATCCCTCCTACCATTTCAAGAAAGAGGCAAGAAAGGGCATGTTCACACAATTATTTATGGGATGTGGTGGCCTTCTCTAGTTTTAGATTACTTTAGAAGGAGATTTTTAAAATGGGGGTGTCTATCAAGAATTTTAAGTTTCATGTTCAAAGGCACTTCTAAAAATCACTTGCTGGGGGGTGGAGGCAGGTAGCAACAGAGAAAGAGCTGCTACTACGGTGACCTATTTGTGGGCTTCCAGGAGGCACCACTGTGGAATACAGGATGCTGGACCTTTGCTCTGATCTAGCAGGGCTCTTATTATTTATTTAGGAGATTTTTTTCCCCTCCTAGAGCTTGGGCAGATGATCAACAAGTGGAGAACTTTCCTTTCCTACAGTCTGCATCTATACGTTTAAATCAGCACTTCCAAATTTTGCACAGATCCTGTCCTCTATTTTGGGCCACCCTTTTGGGGATTAATACAGATCTCGCTTCATCCTTTCAAATCCTAAGAAAACACTGACGGGGAGAAGGGGCTGATTCCACCCACACCCCCACCCCATCCTCCGGAAGGAAAATATTTTCGCGGGAGTCTATCTGTTGACGCCTTACCTTGAGGGTCCCGTAGCACAACCAGTCCTACTTTCCTTCAAAGAAAAAGTCTCTAGCCCCCCCCCCCCATAAAAAAACCCCTTTCCACCGCCACTCACCGAGGTGCGGCATGGTCAGGGTCGAGTTGCCGAACTGAAGCTCGTTATAGATCACCACGGCGGCCGCCCTCTTCCTCGCCGCGTTGGCGATTTTCTCCTTCAGCCGGCATCCGCCGTGGGACACCAGAGCGATCCAGGAGGGAGGCGGCCCCCCACGGCCGGCGCCGGGAGGCGTGGGCACCTCGTACTCGGCGTCTGGCGCACAGCCTTCCATGGGGCGGGCGCCCACGCCCCGGGGGATGCCCACCAGGCCCTGCGCGCCCTCCTTGGGCGAGGTGTCCCCGTAGCGGCCGCTCTCGGCGCTGCCCCGCACCGTTCGGTTGGTGCCGGGCTCGGTGTAGACCGTGGTCACCCACGCCGAGTACCACACCAGCGACCAGGCCACGCGCGGGCACCCCGCCGCCGCCAGCAGCAGCAGCAGCCACACCGGCAGCGCCACGCGCCGCACCACTAACATGGTCCCCCGGCCACACCGCGTGGCCCGCCCGCGCACTCCTCCAGCGCTGGCACGGGGAAAGAAGCCGCCGCTTCGGCGGCGCCGACAGTCAGCGTCGCTTTCCCGCCCCCTTCCTTCCCCCGGCCTGACTAGAAATGGGAGGAGAGAGGGCAGGAGCTCCTGGGGTGGCGCTGGTTTTGCTCCTCCCTCAGCCGCCCAAGGCCGGTTTCCTTCGTCCCGCCCAAGCCGAGAAGGTATAGACCGCCCCCCTCCCCCCAAGGAACCGGCGCGCACGTGGAGCCTCTTGCGCCCCCATCCGCCGCCCCCCGTCCCCGAAGAGAAATCTCTCGGTTTTAAAATGGAGTGGGCGAACTGTTAGGCTTTCCAGCATTGCCCCAGTTCCAGGACGGCCCTGCTCCACACATCCTGCGGTTTGTGCGTCTCTCAGCCATTTTCTGCAACCACTCAAAAGACTTCTTAATGCCCTCCCCGTCCTCCTGAGATTTAGCAGGGGAGCTGTGGCTACAGAGCTTTCCCTTTTTCCATTTCAGCTCCTGGCTGCGGGAAGCCAGCCAAGACTCTGAAAGCTGCACTGAGCGCAATGCTGAACTGAGAGAGCTCTGCTGTGTGGAAACCCCTCCTCGGTTCGCGTAGGCAGGGGCTTCAGTTAAGCAATCCCGGACTTTTAGTTTTTTGAGCAGAAGTTGTAAAAAAACAAAACAAAAAACCCACAACCATTTCGCTAAAATTCGTATTGGTTTCGTCTCAACCTTAAACCATGTTGAAAAGACCTTTATTTCAAACAATGTAGAAATGGGAAGGCATACAGTCAGAGCCTGTTCCGAACCAAGCAGCAAACAAGACCAGTCATTTCTTCTCAAAGCCTCAATCGGGTCGAGGCTCAGCCTGGCGTATAGTCGGAAGAGAAGGCCTGAATTACAGAGTACAATGAGGTGGAAATAAGGTGAGGAGGCCAAGTCAGACTACAAGTGTAGGAGCATTTTGGTATGCTCCACCATTTAAAAAGGCTCCCTGCAACTATTAAACTACCACAGGAAGCAGGAGAGGGCAGAAGCTTTCTTCCTGTTCTGCTGGTTTTCTCATTGTGTGCACTTTTTGTGTGCAAATAAACACTGAAAGCCAGTCTCTCTAGTCAAGTATGTTTGGCTTTGCCACAGTATTGTAGCTCCTTTTTCTTTGGCAGGTCTGAATGTTGACATAAGTGATTACACCTTTAGCCCTACCTTTAAGGTTGCCAGATTCAGGTTAGGAAACTCCTGGAGGTGAACTCATCTCTGTCACCCGGAGATTAGTTATAATAGCGGGAGATCTCCAGCCACCCTACCTTCAGCCCTTCATCAGTTCAAAATATAAAAACTATTAAAAATTGGTTGCTGATCAAGGTAGGGTTGCCAGGTTGGGAAAGTCCTCAAGATTTGGGGTTGGTGCCTGGGGAGAGGAGGTACTTCGCGGGGGGGGGGGGTGAAAAATAATGCCATAGAGTCCACCCTCCAAAGCAGCCATTTTCCCCCAGGAGAATTAATCTCTACTTTGGAGATCAGTTGTAATTCTGGGAGATCTGCTGGCTGTACGGGGAGGCTGGCAACACAATTCCAGGCCTTACACCTCTTCTCTTCGGGACCGCTTCTCCCCATATGAGCCCCGTAGAGCACTGAGATTACAAATCAACACCTTTTGGTAGTCCCCGGCCCCGGGGACATCCAACTTGCCTCAACTAGTGGAATGAGCTCCTGTATGAGATCAGGGCCCTAGAGGACTTACTGCAATTCGGCAGGGCCTGCAAGATGGAACTCTTCCACCAGGCTTTTAGTTGATGCAGTGGGCCTGTTCCCCCCCACCTTCTGGTTGGCCTCCCATTAGTGACCTAGATTCAAACAGCCGTCTGGGAACCCACACTACTGTTCCATCTTAACTGCTGAGACATTTGATCAGATCTTGCATGGTATTTTATGACTCCGTATTGTATTGTTTTAATTTTGTTGTTTTAAATTGGTTTTAATTGTTACTGTGGATTTTGTATTAATATTGATGGAACCCGCCCTGAGCCTGCTTGTGGGGAGGGCAAGATACAAGTATAATAAAATAAAATAAAAAATGAACAGATGCTACTGATAGTACCACATCTTTGTCAGTGTATTTTAATTAATCCCGAATAATTACAACCTATTTATACCATTCCCTATTTGGGAAATTTTCACAGGTGAGGTTTAAATCTGTTTTTTCTTAAATTGGTCTGTACTTTGAGTGTAAAATCTATCGTTACCTATATATTTACTATTTATTTATTTTGTTCGGCTTTTTATCCCGCCCTCCCCCACAAGCAAGCTCAGGGTGGGTCACAACATTCTTAAAACCATACAAAATTTGAAACAGAATACAACCATAAAACAGTTATAAGCCATTTGTACACATAAAAACCTTAAGAGGCGCTAGCTAGACAATTTACTGAACAGGATGAGGTTCCAGTTTCGATGTAGCTGCAGATCTAAACAGTGCAGGAGAAGCGGGTGGGTGAGCAAGCAGCTAAGATGGCCTATAGTGCTGCTGGACATAGCTAAGCAGGGCAGGGGTGGCCATTGTGGCCATGTTGTTGCCATGTCAACCATAGGCCTGGTGGAACATCTCCGTTTTACAGGCCCTGCAGAACTGCATTAAATCCCACAGGACCCATATCTCACTAGGGAGGGCATTCCACCAGGCTGGCACCAGAACCAAAAAGACTCTGGCTCTGGTTGAGGCTAGGCGGACATCTTTGGGGCCAGGGACGACGTGTAGATGTTGAGCAGAAGAGTGCAGGGCCCTTCGAGGGCTCTATAGAGAGAGAGAGAGACGGTCCTGCAGATATGTTGGTCCCAGTCCGCATAGGGCTTTAAATGTAAGAACCAAGACCTTGAACTTGATTCGAAATTCAACTGGAAGCCAATGCAACTGGCAAAGCACCGGTTGTATATGTGCTCTTAGGGGTATCTCTGTAAGGACACATGCTGCTGCATTTTGAGCCAGCTGCAGTTTCTGGAGCAGCCTCAAAGGTAGCCCTTGTGCATAGGAGTTCTAAGAGTCTTCGATGCTGCAAACCAACTCTTGTGCTGTTTGAGAACTACATTTGTAATGTCCACTCAAGATAGCGTTTGAAGCAACCTCCACATTTGAGACAGCGTGAGAGACTGTGAAAACTGAAGTTTTCCTTGCAAACAGCATGAGAGACTGTGAAAACTGAAGTTTTCCTTAAGTCCTTAACCACTTTACCTCTCTACATGTGCATGAAAAAGATGAAATAAAATTAAAAATTTTATTCTTTGGGGGTTGTATGCATAATAGGGTGGTCAAATACATTGAAGAATATTCCACATTAAGGCTGCAATCTGTTTTATGCACACATTCGGTGGAAATGTGTGCACGAAAGCTTATACCCAGAATTAAACTTTGTTGGTCTTAAAGGTGCCACTGGATTCCAACTTTGTTCTGTTGCTTCCGACCAACATGGCTACCCACCTGAATCTGTGACAGCCATAGTGATGGAAGGGCACACTGGTATCTCTGTGACTGGGAGAATATGGGAAAGATGTTCTCCAGTTAGAGAGCATCCTTTACAACTAACAGAGAAAACACAGTAGCTCTTTCATGTATTAACACTTCTTGATTAGAGGGTCCATGTTCAGGTGGGCTTGAACCCCAGGATCTGGCACCCAGATTGGCTGTGGCCCAGGAGTACAATGTGGGGAGTGGTCTGAAAAGGAGGGCTGTTTCTTTGTTTGGAGTTGTTGGTGTGCCATGAAGGACAACAGAGGGGGTGATGATAAAGACATGTACAGGTGCACCTGGGGGGGGGCATCTCCTGCCTGGGGTGGCATAATGAGAGCAACAAAGACCAGGTATGTCATGGATTGTAAGTACCTGGTTAGTAACTTTCCTTTTGTTTGTTTTGCTTAGTGCACCTAGATCAGTTTTCTGTATCCTGAATTTGTGCCTTGTATAAATAAAGTGTTTTAAAGTAGAGGTAAGTAGAGAGTCTGCACAGTTCCTTACCCACTTGCCTTGGTCTCTTGGCATACACCCCTGTGGTGTTGGCCTTGGGCAACCCACAAGAGAGAGGGGCAGAATTTTTACCAGGGGTGGTGGTGGCAAAAGGAAAAGAGAAAGACAGTGGCTGTTCTTCCCCACATGGTGACAAAGTTCTTTACATGGAAACAATTTATAATATTACAAGAACTGGTTTATAAACCATGGGTGTTACTGTACTACAGTGCAACCCTAAGGAGACTTGTACTCTTCTAAGTCCATTGACCTCAATGGACTAGGAGTGTAGCTCTGTCGAAGTTTCTTAAGGTGTGTATGTAGTTTCTTAAGGTCTTGTATGTAGCTTTACTTAGTTTACTTACTTTGCCCTCTTTGTCTTAATTGGTCTTAAGCCTCATTTATGAATTCATTTTTTTAAATTTAAATTTTGAAAGTGCTGTGATCTAATTTATTTTGCTGTTCTTAGTTAAACATCATTCACCGAAACATCCCAGCTGCAATTTCTCATACTTCATTTTATTTACATGTAATGTTTTATAAACATCTTGCTTATGACATTCATTTCTGTCAGTCAATATACACTACAAATTAAAATGCACAGTGGGGATGAGATAAATAATTTTTATCTAGTGAGAAAAAAGTAATCTTATAAACTGTTCTTTCTTTGGTTAAATAACAGCAGCTGATAAAGCCAGCTGTGCTTAGTTCTTATACAAGCATTATATTATGCAATTTATCTCAGAGTTACTATCTAGCATGCAAATATCATAGATGAAGGAGCAATGATAAAAATCCTGATTACGGTTTCAGCAGCTGTATGGGCAGAGGCTTTGCTTTTAGGAGCTGCCTGTCAGGCAAAAATTAACAGATAAAGTTTTCGCCATCATGGAGTCTCCATGCCCAATAAAGTCCTACATGTTGCTTTCTTCCTATAATGTCACAGATGCAGAGCATCTGACTACAGTCTACTGCAGAATTAAGCATACAGCCAATTTATTTCAGTGGGTTTAAGCATGCTACATTCTATACTGCAATGATGGAAAACTTATTCAGGTTGGCGGGTTGGAGATAGTTAAAGAT